CCCAAAGAATTGACTTCGAGTATCGGAGGTGACATAGGTAGAAACAGTGTTTGAAGTATGGATGCAAGATCGATATTATCTCCCATGAAGGTCGTCCGAACTGTAGGCCTTCATGAGCCAGCCATCCAGGATGTGGACGTCAATGGTAACATTGATTCACGACACAGGTAGATGCAATAACGTTGAGGTCGAACCACCTTGCAGCTCTTGCTTCTCGATCTGTCTCGAATTAAATCGATGTGAAGTGCCGTCTGGCTGGAGTGAAGTTTCACTGATCTATGATGGTTCCAGAGTGCGTGCACCCTCGTTCGAAGTGCTTTCTGAGGCGAAGGTGCTCTGGCAGATTTTTAAGCACCAAGTGTGACATCGTTTAAAAATAAGAGGAAAAATCTCATGCTAAAGATGCCACCGTCAGCGAACTAAAGTTGCGACTATTTAGAGGATAATCACGATATTCTGCGACTGCTTGTGAGGTTGCGCGTTACAGGTTCGCCGGAGGGAGCGGTATCTGTATATGCTTGTCGGAATTGTGCATCGTTGAAGAGTGACTAGTGATTAGCGGCTGCTGGAGTACAAAACTTGAACTAGACTCGAGTTGCTCGACACGAGCATAAGGGTTTGCCGCACGAACACTAGCTCCGAGTTCCTAGTGCAGGAAGTACGTAGCACAATGAAGGCAGTGTACGGCCCGTACCCCATACTCAGCCTGGGGGCTTCAGCACTAGGAACAGTAGGTCGTTTGGGATCAGGCTCAGTCCGTTACTCTCGCGAACGAGAGAACCAGAAAAACCCCGGAAGACTCGCACCAGACGCTCTGCAGTGGCACTGAAAGCCAGATTCTTGACGAATAAAGTCGTCCCAGCAGACAAAGAAAGCTCGTCCGCATCAGCACCGCTGCCAGCTTCCTGCTTGGCGATAGTGATCGACTTGAATGCAGTTATCAGCGTACGGTCAGAGTTCCCTGCTGCCATCCGCAGTCTCCTGGAACATGCCCATTGAACCCTTCTCCAAGTAGACGACACTACTTCCAAGACGTCGGTAAGCTACAGCTCGAAAAGCCTTGGCAGCTTCATCTGCCTGTTCGTTGTCGACCACCGCCATGGTACCTGGCCGGTGGTATGATGACGCGGGCTGAGTTCCCCGTGTAACTCGAGCATCTCACCCGCAGTGGTGCCATAGGGGGATGTTATTCACGAGTATCGTAGTATCAGACCGCGCTCGGGAAGAAAATGTCAACAAGATGACCCCCTGGGACTCAAGGTATGACTTCGTCTCTTGGATTAACGTATGTCTCTGCAAGCGCAAGCTTGACCACCGCATTGTTTGACTCAGGATTCAGAATATCTGCCTTGGCAATTCCCATTCGATCAGCAATAGACGATGCCACTGCATCGCTCTGCACATGCATTGTATGAGATCTCAATATATAGTGCGTAACATGACAAAGGCTTGACGAACATTCACGTACAACATACTCCCATTGAACTCCCGCCCAGCTGTGGCTTTACGCCGAGAACTCCTCTCATCTTTTAACGTTCGGCTGTTTTCCCCCTCGCATTTTACTAACTTCGTACTTGCCTTTACTGTCAACAGCAGGAATGATGTGGAGAAGAGACCTTGGAAGGACGTCTGTCCATTGCCTCATACGCCGAGAGGGCAGATGTCGGCTGCTTAAAAGACACGTAGGCTAGACCCTTCGACTGCTTAGACAAGCGGTCAATGGGTATATGGACCTGTCAGGATAGGGATGAGTCAGTGTGATTACGACACAATTTGTAAAATGAGAATAAAAGTCAGATAAAATTTTCTACTATTGGTTCCCGGGGATCAGCAAATCCTGAGGATCAGATGTCCCTAAATGTTTATCATCAAGAAAAAAGCGAAAGAAATGGAGAATACACGACAAGGCTGCGGGATACTCACCTGTTGCAATTTCCCCGAGCGGCTGAAATAGCTCCATGACCTCGCTTCCGTACATGAGAAGGCAAGGTTTCGAAGAAATAATCGAGCGTGTGCATAATCGTCTTTGTTGTCGAGTCCTGGTGTTCCTCAGAATGGCGCCAACCCTGGTGCTCGTCGTCTGATTGCTCAAAGACTTTATCGGGTAATGAATCTGACACCAGGGTCATACGTTGTCGCATTCCATTCGAAGTCCATGACAGCCTCATTACTATCTGGTCCATCGGATGTGGTCATTGTCTCCGGAGGGCCGGTCGGTAGTACTAAATGTGATTCCTTAGCTTCATTTGCCCACGATGGACCCTTTTCGTGCAGGTTGCATAGCATCCATGAACTGATCTAGCGAAGAGGCTGGAGCGCTTGTCTTACCATTCTTGTCCGCCTTGTGAACATGTGGTCGCGATGACGGTCCTGGGTCTGCAGCAATGTCTTCCAGGCGTCTTCTCTTATTTGGTCGAGGAGCTAGAGCATCCTTCACGCCTTGCAGATATATTTGTAAAACGAAACACCGACACTTGGGAAGCAAAAAAAACTACTGCGACAACCATGACATTAATTCGCGTCGAGTCGATGAACGTGCAGTCAAACGACGAAACCGAATCCACGCGATGTGCCGTCCTGCTTGAGTGAAAAATTCAGATCTGTGATGGTTGCAGAGGGAGCACCTTGTTGTTCGAAGTGCTTTCTGAGGCGATCTGGCGTGAGGTACGCGGGTAGATTTTTCACAATCAAATGTGAGGACAAGAGCAACACCAATTCAAACTCCGACTGGACGTACCCGTCTTTGTCATTGCACAAACTGGAAGCGGGGTTCGAGCTTGCACTCTACTGGTAAGTACTCTTGCCCTCAACGAAAGAAAAGGTATTTGTTGGATGTGGTGAGATGCATCGATGTGTATGACAAAATGACGTACGCGGAAACTCGAGTGAATTACCCTATTTGTACTGGGTTCGAGCCTTTTTTGAAATTCCATCGGGGCAACTTTCCGACATCATCTCAAAGTCAAACCTCGAGTGTTTCTCTCTGACGCGTTCACCTTTCGAACGTCATCTCAAAACCCGACCTCGAGTACTTCGAATTCTCTAGTACTTCTCGCCTTTGTTAAATGCGTCCGTTACCACCTGCCATAACACCCTCGATAATTCTACCCCCATGCCAATCAGACTCGTATATATAGCATCATTCAGCTTTTCTATGCAGCGCACTATGCAATACATTGGATCCCACATTTTGCCTTAGCCTTGTGCTACTAGAATGAGTACTACGTCTCGAACAACCTATGATGAGAGTAACTTGTTCGATCTGCATCACAGTACACTTTGAGAGTCACAACACGTCCCCCAACTCACATTAGCCTGTCGCTTTCACTGTTGGCTGACCTTGACATTGCTCTCCCGCTAATCCTAGTTTAGCCGCCCTCAGCGCTTACTGCAACCACACAAGCGCCCCAGACTACCCTCAACAACACGGAAATACACGTGGAACATCATAACCTCAACCCTCAACCCCTTCCTCTCCCTCTCACCCAAACTTCATCCACAGTTCATATCCCCACCCCCGTCTTCTTCTACTACCCTTTCTGTCTACCATCCAACCCATCCTCAATCCCTGGTCGTTTTGCTTCATCGCACTATCATGCCCGGTAGCTTAGAAGGCCGATATATCAGACTTGAAGTGAGTTGCTTCATACCACATTCGTATCTGTTATCCTCACATTCTATCTACAGTTATCAGTGGAAAAAATATCAAAGTTCCCTCCTTGCGCACCCCGCAGGCATCCATGTGTCCGTCAATCTCGACTCGAGCAGACGCTGGAAATCAACAATCGGTGTCCTATCATCCGACGAATCTATAACGTGGCGCGATAGTGTGACCTTGTACATGTTCATCCAGACTTTCCGACGCAACTCGAGGACTGATCTTGTGTTTGTAGATCATCAGATGCGTCACCTACGTTATCAGTGGAGATCAGGGCTTCCTTCGAGCTCGATTGCATGCTAGGCAATGGAGAAGTTGTCGGAAAACTTGACAAATCATGGGATGAGCTGCTAGATCATGGAAATGAGCCTTTCGGTGAGTAACCTCCTTCCCACTCATGCGCGTACACTCACATCTTGTAGACATCTCGTTTCCGTCTGTTCACTCTTCCCTCACACTAAAGGCCACGGTTCTACATGACTGTGACTATCAGGACAGCGCACTGCCTGACGTGAGTAACATCAGCCTCTGTGTTGTTCGCTTTTGTAGACGGAACACCTGCTGTAGTCCATCGTTGAGTGTCAGATTGCTCAAGACACGGATGCGGGCCATGAACGATTTGCCACATACGTGACAAGCAAGACGGTCTCTCACCTGAATGATGCTGTAAAGCATTTTCAGTTGGTCCTGGACCAATGTCCGGTCGGCCATCCTCACCGAGCAGCGGCTCTCACAAACCTCGCGTGGGCCCGCCTTGAAGGCTACATTCGAAAGGATTTTCAATGACATCGACTCTATCACTTCTCTCTTCCGCGAAGCCCTTGCATTGCGTCCACATGGCCATCCCGATCATCCATTATCCATCTATCACCTCCTTAAAGCGTTGATCTGGCGCTACAGCAAAGAGAACTTCGCCGTCGTCTATATCCAGGAATGCGCGCAACTGTCCTGCAAGCTATTGACCCTCTGTCCAGAGGGCACTCACCTTCGTAGGATTGCAGCAGGGGCAAATGGCGTCGATTATGTGATCCGCGAATGCAACAACTTCCAAAGACGCATCCGATGAAGGGATCCACCTTCGACGAGTCGTACTCGAGCTTTGTCCTCTGGGCAGCGCACACCGTCCGAAAGCACTCGACAACCTTGCGCAGGCAGTTGAAGCACGCTTTGACCAGCGCGGCACCATTGATGATCTAGCAGAGAGCGTACAACATAAGCGTGAAGCCGTTTCTCTGTGCCCCGAGGGACATTCTGAACGCGACACCTACCTGAATAACTTGGCCTACGCACTCCAGTCCCGCTTTAATCACCAAGGCAACTCAGATGACCTCAATGAGGCCATCTCTTTGTATGAAGAAGCGCTGCGCCTGTGCCCTGTTGGGCACAAATCTCGTGATTTCTCATTGAACAACCTAGGAGCTGCCCTCTACACCCGTTTCGACCAACGCGATGATGTTAACGACATCATCAGATTCATCAGCCTCCAGCGCGAGGCACTGACGTTGCGCCCCGCCTGGGAATCCATATCGTGATTCCACGCTTAACAACCTTGCGCTCGGGCTCCAAACCAGATATGAGAAATTAGATGCCAGCGAGGATCTCGACGAGGCCATCAACCTCTACCGGGATTCACTTCAGTTAAGGCCGCATGGCCATCCGTTTCACTATCAAGCTCTTATCAATTTGAGCTCGGCGCTCCGTTCTCGTTTCGCGCAAACTCGGAAGAATGAAGATATCGAGGAGGCCATTCGACTCTGCCAAGAGTCGTTGGAGTCTTTGCCTTCACTGCACCCAAGTAGATATTTCAGCTACATGTGGCTGAAGAATGCCTACGTGTCTCGTTACCAAGTGCAACGCAACCTCGCCTATTTATCGCTCGCTGTGGAGAACTTCAGACTGGCATCGAGACACCCCACTCAGGGCTTTCCAAATCGCATTACAACGGCCCGGAACTGGATCGCCATAGCAGAGCAACACAGTCATACATCTACATTGGAGGCCTACATCACATGTTTCGACCTTCTTGACGGTCATTTGGCGACACGATCGTCAATAATTTCACGGCGCGAAGCTGCCGCTGCCTTCAGCGGTGCCAGATCACTGCCTGTAGATGCAGCATCATGTGCCATCCGCCGTGACAATCTACGCCATGCAGTGGAGCTCGTGGAGCAGGGTCGTGGCCAGCAGTGGTCGCTGGCCTCTCGAATCAGGACTCCGCTGGAAGACCTGAAGCTTGCAAGTCCGGAACTAGCTCACAGGCTCTTGGAAATTAACCAGCGCCTGTCTGATGCTCAGGGTTCTGCCGGCAGCACTGACCGAGCTGCTGCTGATCGAGCAGCAATACAGTACAGAAGACTTCAGCAACAGTGGGGAGCAGCCGTAGTTGAGATCCGTAATTTTAAAGGTTTCTCGCGGTTCCTGCTGCCGCCGTCATATGAAGACTTGCAACCGGCGGCGCGTCATGGTCCAGTCATCATCCTCGTTGCGAGTCAATACTCGTGCAGTGCCATCGTTGTCCCAACATCAGGAGAGCCCCACCACGTTCAATTCCCGCGCGTCACTCTCACACATCTAGAGAACCTCAAGAGTGACTTCGCCAGGGAGATACGACTTGCATCTTTTATGCGCCCAGAGGAGACAAGGAAGGAATTGCAAGTCCTCTTGCGGACAGTATGGGACGAGATCATGTTACCCATTGTCATCGTCCTCCAGCGTGATCTCAGAATAACGAGCGGCTCTCGAATCTGGCTGTGTCCAACTGCAACCTTCACTTCCATTCCTCTCCACGCAGCTCACCCCTTTCGAACGAAGGAAGACGGACGGCGTGAACTATGCCTTGAGGATGTCTATATCTGTTCTTACACACCGACACTTTCAGCTCTGATCAGATCTAGACAGATGATGAAGAAACGTGTGACTCCGTCATTCGTTGCAATCGGACAAAGTTCACCGGGCGCGGGGCAAGGCGAGGCGCTGTTGACTATTGATAGCGAGCTTGAGCTCGTCCACAAACTCGTCCCCGCGACAGCCAATCCCACCACTCTCTCCGGCGACGACGCCAGGCAAGCAGGTGCACTCGATGCTTTACAACGCAACACTTGGGTGCACCTCGCTTGTCATGGGAAGCAGGATCGCGAGCAGCCTTACCATTCAAGTTTCGCCATGAAAGACAAACCTCTCACGTTGCTCGATATCATGGAGAAAGACATTCCTCACGCTGAGTTCGCATTCTTGTCGGCGTGTCATACCGCTGTTGGTGATGAGAAGACACCGGACGAAGTCATCCACCTCGCAGCTGGACTCCAATTTTCAGGGTTCAAGAGCGTCATTGGCACGCTGTGGGTGGTCGACGACGCTGTCGCGAAACACGTTGTCGAAGCTTTCTACAAGAAGATGGTCAAGGGTTTGGAGGATGGTGATATGATGGACTGTACGAAGGCGGCCTGGGCACTCAACCGTGCTACAAACGCCGTAAAGACGAAAGTTCCGCTTGAGCAGAGGATGGTTTTCATACATATTGGTGTGTAGTTCTATGTCTCATTGTTTCGATATCGTACAGTTCTTCAGGTTATTCTCTTCGGTCTATGCTGTACTTAAAGTTGTAGGAATTACTGTACTAGCCTAAACAATGTGGGTTACCGTGGAAGATGGAGCACAGAAGCAACTGGCCGCCGTCATTTAAGCCCGGACGCATCTGCATGTTATTGTTTGCGTATTCTGAGATGGATCCTTGGCGCTGAAACGATGCAACAAAGACCAAGGCAGTAGCTTGTATGATTTGTTAACCTGCAGACATCCCATGTACGAAGATGTGAGCATCATCTTAAGGTCGTCATAGGGTGGGGCGAGAAGTATAATCCTCCTGCACTACCCCAACCGCAGTAAGAGCACAACTAAAGGCGGCACTCATTCACAGGGATCGACACAAGACCCGAGTCCTAGCTTCCTACATAGCGCATAGTACACACAATGTAATACAATGAAAGTAGCGTAATCATGTCCCATGAAGAGTGTTGCAGTGCCTATACAGGGCAATAAACAAGACTTTATCAAAAGGAAATGGTACCGAAAGAAGTAGGAAATACGGTACGACAGACGCAGGAGGGTCGTCGAGAACTAGATGGTAGTGCAGGAGGATTATACTTCTCGCCCCACCCTACGACGACCTTAAGATGATGCTCACATCTTCGTACGTGGGATGTCTGGACTCTGCAGGTTAACAAATCATACAAGCTACTGCCTTGGTCCTTGTTGCGTCGTTTCAGCGCCAAGGATCCCATCTCAGAATATGCAAGCAATAACTTGCAGATGCGTCCGGGCTTAAATGACGGCGGTCAGTTGCTTCTGTTCTCCATCTTCCATACTCACCTATCTTCCTCTGCAACGTTCTGTCTATGGCAGGTCAACCAAACTGGCAGATCAGAGCGTGGTTCATTGGACAATACGGGCAAGCTCGCAGTACTTAATTGACTTTGATTAGACATGATGGTGTACAAGTAGACATGAAAACAGGGTCCATAAAGGTTAAGCGTTAAAGATCAGCAAAGTCAGTGCACACTCGGCAGAAAATCGCATCTGCTATTTCTCAGCGCCGGTAAAAAGGACAAAATCTTTGACACGCATCATGAGCGTGTGGGGTATCTCGCGTTCCTCCTCCTTCTCGGATTCCACGCAGCGGGTGATGTACTTGTACCGCATACCACCCTTCCCGTCGGGGACTTGTTCGCGCCTGACCGCGTAGCCCCGCTGAGGGGGCGGCAGATGCGCCGGGTACTGCCCAATCGTATTGAGGAGAGAGAGGATGAGAGTCGAAGAGGACTTACATCATGAAGGGCTCGTCCGTCGTGAATGACTTCTTGCTTGTAAACCTCTGCTTCTTCGTATGGCTTCTGCAGGGGCCGTACAAATCAGCACGATATCGACAGAGAAAAGGTGATGTATCAACCTTCACAGCGCTAATTTTCCAGTGCTGGTCGGGAGGGACTTCTGCAGATGAAGGCCTCAATCACATAATATCCAAAGAGCAAAGAGAAACTACTAACATGCAAGAAAAGGTCGCACTTTTCGCAAACGGGCTTGCCGTTGAACATCGCTGCTTCTTGGCCCTAAATGCAAAGAAATGTGAATTGAGACGACTGTAAAACAAGGGGGGCATACCTCTTGGATCACGATGACTACAGAGCAGTTGGTCATCGAGCACACTTGTTCCATGATTTGAGTAGATAGGAAAGATGTAATGAGAAGAGGAGGACTTTGAGATCAAAACTTTCAGTGGTGAGAGATGATGAGCGAGTGAGGATGAAACATGGCGGCTTTTATATGAGACAGAAAGATACAAGCAGTGGCAAAGTGTGGAAGGTGGGAGCATGGAGGTCTGAGCACCGGTAGAAGAATGATAGTTCACAACGTAGTGGAACAAGCGCAAAGCCGAGCCAAGACAATGCACCGTAGCACGTGAACAATAGAACAGAGATGTGGCTGCATGCAAGAGTGCTCCGACGAAACAGATGTGGAATTCCCTACATTGAGGTTTCTGAAAACGCAGGAGAAGGTGGAAATACTAATGCTCGCCTATCCACAGTGCTCACTTTGTGGCAGGCGATGATCACCGAAACATCGAGCAGTCTACTCGTCGCTGTGTTGTTGCACTGGCATGTCATAAGCCTCTGCAAAATCACAGCGCCAAGTGACACTGAAAAGAAAAGGATCTCGAGAGCGAGGGGTGCGATTTGTGTACGTGTCGACATCTAAAAGCGAAACCACCAAGCGCAGCGTGCCCACCCCCCAATACAAAGGACAAGGGTATTGCAGAGAATAGTAAGTGGGGCAGTCACGGCACTTCGTTATGATGAAGTAAATCTAGTTTTTTAGCGCATGCGGGGACGACGATATGCTGTCTGCGCACGAAGGAGGGGGTGTTAGAACACGACTTCTGCAAGGGTTGAGCTGAGAGGGACATTAAGCAGTTCATGGCTGCGTGCCGCAGCCGGTGCAGTGAATGTGAACTAAACCCTCTTTATTGATGTCGCTGAATTGCACGGACTTGCAAAAATGTGACAAATATTCGCAGGAAACGAGGGGCGGGGCAATGTGCGGTCACTGGGAGACGTCGCGTAGCACTGCTGGCGTGCATGCGTCTGCTCGACAATGAGCCAATCGATAGCCTCGTTCGCGGGCAGCGCATCCAGCTAAATATGACAGACCAGAGCCCGGAACTACTGAGCCTGCGATGGCGTCAGACCAGTCATAAATGAAAGTCTCGTCGACCCGCGTCATGTGTTGCTCGTGCTCTCGACATTCGCCAACTTGTGCGTGACTTGTATGGCAGGGACAGATCTCACCGTCCTTGTTGGTGTCAAGGAGCATTGCAGCGATGGAGTAGCCGTGCTCATCTCACCGAATCCGCTTGTGGAGAATTGTACCCAATCGCTGACCATCTGCGAGGTACGTGCCAAGACGTGGGTTGTCGTATCGCGCTTGACGGTGTTGTTGACAGCCTTTTCTCTGCCATATTCGAGATGAAAAGCAAAGGACGTTTGTGCACCGGCAATGCGATTTCGAGTATCAAAGACATGAGTGCAGACAACATACTGACGAAGATGAACAGACTCATCCACGAAAATCGTAATCGTTATGGCCAGATTTAGTAGAGAGACGAAGAAGAAAAGATCACGTAGGACATTGAGAACCAAGATTGGGGAGAGGAGTCCAGTTAGACTCTCGACGAAAATATTGAGAGAAAATATAGATAGAATCGCATTGAGCGAGTGGAGAGACACAGGGATGCAGGGTTCGCGGGATAGTATGACCGTACTAGGGCCGTGATGCCGTGGGCGCTTAAACTGCTGGAGCTGTGGAGCAAACATGAGGCAAGGAAAACACACCTGTATGAGACTAAAAACTTGGACAACGACCTCCCTCCTGGCTTGAATCTCCAGTGAACGAAACGCCCACTCCGTTGCAGCTTTTTTTTCGGCATTGTACAAGTCAAGTACTTCTGGGTTCTCAGAAAGTGATAGATTCATACGGTATTTGATGGTAAAAGCTGAAATTATGACGTACCCATTAAGTGGATCCCAAACTCACGGAGCACCAAGCCTTTGCGAAGCACAAGAATTTGTCGACGAAGCCTTACCGAAAGATCAAAGTAGATGCCAGCACCAAACATATCCTACACCTACCCGGTGGACAGCGGATCATCACCTATTCATGGGATGGGTCATTTCGAATCTGGGACTTGGAAAGGGGCGCGCAGGTTGGGAAGGAATGGAAGACAAAGATATTGGAGTGGAGACTATAGCATTGTCGCCGGACGGCAAGACCATGGCAAACGGGAGTTTGGATGGTGCAGTGAAATTGTGGAACGTCAACACCGGCAAGGTCATCAAAAATTGGACAGGACATACATCATTGGGAGTGAAGTCTATATGCTGGAGTCCAGACGGAGGGCGAGTATTGAGTGGATGCCAAGATGGAACATTCATGGTGTGGGATGTCACTGAGAACGAAGAGACTATCCTTGGACCAATCAAGGCAGGGGATATCTTGCACGCGGTTTGCTACTCACCTGATGGCAAGATTATTGCCACGGGCGGGGACGTCCTCAAAATCTGGGATGCCGACACAACTGAATTGCTCAAAACACTCGAGGGAGGAGCAACGTGCCCTAGCATGAACCTCGAATGGCCAAAAACGCTCATTGCTGGTGGAATCGAAATCACGAAATTCAACACAGCCACCTGGTCACTGTCATTTTTAATGTGCATGACAAAATGACGTACATACGGAAAGAGAGAATTACCCTATTTGTACTGTGTTCAGGCCTTTTTTTCATTCGTGCCTTTGTACTCGGCCCATCGGGGCAGCGAGAATACTTGGTTGTACTTTGACTTGCTTGCCTTTCCGACATCATTTCAAAGCCGTCTCGCAAATGACGCGTCCACCTTTCGAACGTCATCTCAAAAACCCGACCTCGAGTACTTCGAATTCTCTCTGGCACTCTAGCTAGTACTTCTCGCCATTGTTAAATGTGTCCGTTACCACCTGCCCCATGGCAATCACGTACATATAGCATCGTTCAACTTTTCTATGCAGCGCACTATGCAATATATTGCATCCTACATTTTGCCTTAGCCTTGTGCTACTAGAATGAGTTACCACGTTTCGAACAATTTATGATGAGAGTAACATGTTCGATCTGCATCACGGTACACTTTGAAACACGTCCCCCAACTGACATTAGCCTGTCACATTCACTTTTGGCTGACCTTGACATTGCTCTCCCACTAATCCTAGTTTAGCCGCCTCAGCGCTTACTGCAACCACACAAGCGCCTAGACTACCCTCGACAACATGAAATACACGTGTAACATTACCTCAACCCTCAACCCCTTCCTCTCCCTCTCACCCAAACTTCATCCACAGTTCCCGTCCCCATATCCCTACTTCCCGTCTTCTCCCACTACTCATTCTGCACACTACTCAATCTACAATGCTCCGTAGCGTTCGTCGTTTGTTTCATCCCACCATCACCCCTAGTAACTGGGAAGGCCAATCTATCAGACTTGAAGGTCGGTCACTCCATATCACCTTAGTGTTTCTTGTAGCCATCTCGCTCTACTTACAGTCATCGGCGGAAAAATTATCAAAGTACCTCCGAGCGCCTGTCTGCAGGCATTTACATATCCCTCAATGTCGACCCCTCGAGACGCTGGAAATCACTATCGGAGTACTAGCATCAGACGGATCTGCAGCGTGGGGCGAAACCGTGACCCTGTAAAGTCCATCACAACTTTCGGGTGCGACTCAAGGACTGATCTTTTTGTCTGTAGATCATTAGATGCGTCGCCTTCGTTATCAGTGGAGATCAGGGCTTCCTTCGAGTCTCGATCACATGCTGGGCAATGGAGAAGTGGTTGGAAAGCTTGAAACGTCGTGGGATGCGCTGCTCGATCACGGAAATGACCTTTCAGTGAGTAACCTCTGTCTCACTCATGCACATATACTCACATCTCGTAGACATCACCTTCCCGTCCGTTCGTGGTGTTCACCCTTCCCTCACACTAAAGGCCACGGTTCTACATAATTGCGACAATCAAGACAGCGCACTGCTTGACGTGAGTAACATCAGCCTCTGTATTATTGGCTTTTGTTGACGGAACGCCTGCTGTAGTCCATCATTGAAATGTCAGATTGCTCAAGACACGGATGCAGGCCATGTACGGTTCGCCAAATACGGTGACACGCAAATTCTGGACCAATGCCCGGTCGGCCATCCTCACCAGGCAGCGGCTCTCACCAACTTCGCGTGGGCCCGCCTTCAAGGCTACATTCGAAACGATTTTCAAGACATCGACTCCATCACTTCTCTCTTCCGCGAAGCCCTTGCATTGCGTCCGCAGGGCCACCCTGATCATCCCTTATCTATCTATCACCTCACCGAAGCGCTGACCTGGCGCTACAGCAAAAGAGAACTTCACCGCCGTCTATATCCAGGAATGCGCGCAACTGTCCTGCAAGTTATTGCCCCCTCTGTCCAGAGGGCACCTACCTTCATAGCATCGCGGCAGGGGCAAATGGCGTCGATTATGTGATCCGCTCATGCAACAATCTTCCAAAAGACGCATCCGATGAAGGCATCCACCTTTGTCGAGTCGTACTCGAGCTTTGTCCTCTGGGCAGCGCACACCGTCCGAAAGCACTCGACAACCTTGCACAGGCAGTTCAAGCACGCTTTGACCAGCGCGGGACCATTGATGATCTAGCAGAGAGCATACAACATTTTCGTGAAGCCGTTTCTCTCTGTGCCCCGAGGGACATTCTGAACGCGACACCTACCTGAATAACTTGGCCTACGCACTCCGGTCCCGCTTTGATCACCAAGGCAACTCAGATGACCTCAATGAGGCCATCTCTTTGCATGAAGAAGCGCTGCGCCTGCGCCCTGTTGGGCACAAATATCGACATTTCTCATTGGACAACCTAGGATTCGCCCCTCTACAACCCGTTTCGACCAACGCGGTGATGTTAACGACATCATCAGATCCATCAGCCTCCAGCGCGAGGCACTGACGTTGCGCCCGCCTGGGAATCCATATCGTGTTAACACGCTCAACAACCTTGCGCTCGGGCTCAAAAACCAGATATGAGACATTGGATGCCAGTGAGGATCTCGACGAGGCCATCAACCTCTTCCGGGATTCACTTCAGTTAAGGCCGCATGGCCATCCACGTCGCCATACAGCTCTTCACAATTTGAGCTCGGCGCTCCGTTCTCGTTTCACGCAAACTCGGAAGAATGAAGATGTCGAGGAGGCCATTCGACTCTGCCAAGAGTCGTTGGAGGCTTTGCCTTCACTGCACCCTAAGAGATATTTCAGCTACATGTGGCTGCAGGAAGCCTATTTATCTCGTTTCAGTGTGCAACGCGAGTCTGCTGATTTGTCCCTTGCTGTAGAGAACTTCAGACTGGCATCACAACATCCCACTCAAGGACTCCCAGAACGCATCAACGAGGCGATCAATTGGACTTTTGCAGCGGAGAGTCACAGTCATGCCTCTGCACTAGAAGCCTACAAAATCTTTTTCGAGCTTCTCGACAGACATTTGTCAACGCGATCTTCAATTGTTGCACGGCGCGAAGCTGCTTCTGCTTTTCGTCGTGCCAGAACATTGCCTGTGGATGCAGCATCATGTGCCATACGCCTTGACAATCTACGAGACACAATTGAACTTGTTGAGCAGGGCCGCGGCCAGCAATGGTCCTTGGCCTCTCGTCTGAGAAGTCCACTTGAGGACCTCGAGTCGACAAATGCCAACCTTGCTCACCAGTTCTCGGAGCTCAGCAAGCGTCTGTCTGATGCTCAGGGTTCCGCCGGCAGTGCTGATCGAGCTGCTGCTGATCGAGCAGCGATACAGCACAGGAGACTCCAGCAGCAGTGGGGAGCAGTGGTAGCTGAGATCCGGAATCTTAAGGGTTTCTCGCGGTTCTTGCTCCCACCTGCATACCAAGACTTGCAAGCGGCAGCGCGTCATGGCCCAGTCATCATCCTCAATGCGAGTCAATATTTGTGCAGCGCCATCGTTGTCCCGACCTCAGGAGAGCCCCACCACGTCAGCTTCTCGCGTGTCACTCTCACACATCTGGAAAAGCTCAAGAGTGACTTTGCAAGGGAGATACGACTTGCATCTTTTATGCGCCCAGAGGAGACGAGGAAGGAATTGCAAGTCCTCTTGAGGACAGTGTGGGACGAGATCATGCTCCCCATCGTCATCGTCCTCCAGCGTGATCTCAGAATAACAAGCGGCTCTCGAATCTGGCTGTGTCCAACTGCAACCTTCACTTCCATTCCTCTCCACGCAGCTCACCCCTTTCGAACGAAGACAGACGGACGACGTGAACTATGCCTGGAGGACGTCTACATCTGTTCTTACACGCCGACACTTTCAGCTCTGATCAGATCTAGACAGACGATGAAGAAACGCGTTACTCCGTCATTCGTCGCAATCGGACAAAGTTCACCGGGTGCGGGGCAAGGCGAGGCGCTGTTGACTGTCGACAGCGAGCTTGAGCTCGTCCGCAAACTCGTCCCCGCGACGGCCAACTCCACCACTCTCTCCGGCGACGATGCCACTCGAGCAGGTGCACTCGATGCTTTACAACGCAACACCTGGGTGCACCTCGCTTGTCATGGGAAGCAAGACCGCGAGCAGCCTTACTATTCATGTTTCGCCATGAAAGACAAACCTCTCACGTTGCTCGATATCATGGAGAAAGACATTCCTCACGCTGAGTTTGCATTCTTGTCGGCGTGTCATACCGCTGTTGGCGACGAGAAGACACCAGACGAAGTCATCCACCTCGCAGCTGGACTCCAATTTTCAGGGTTCAAGAGCGTCATTGGCACGCTGTGGGTGGTCGACGACGCTGTCGCAAAACATGTTGTCGAAGCTTTCTACAAGAAGATGGTCAAGGGTTTGGAGGATGGTGATATGATGGACTGTACGAAGGCGGCCTGGGCACTCAACCGTGCTACAAATGCCGTGAAGACGAAAGTTCCGCTCGAGCAGAGGATGGTTTTCATACATATTGGTGTGTAGCTCTATGTCTCATTGTTTCGATATCGTACGGTTATTCAGGTTATTCTCTTTCTTGTATGCTGTACTTAAAGTTGTAGGAATTACTGGTTTACCCTGTGTCGCACTCCCGTGCTCCAACCATCTTGTTTTCGTTTTCGCAATGATATTTGTCTTTCCTAGAGTCTTTGGCAAAGTCATTCGTTGCTCGATCACAACACGTGTATTCGAATGTTAGCGATATCGTTTTCTGCTGACACTGCTCTGGGACGAGTTAACCGTCTAGTCATCGTCCAAGTCCTGGAATCTAGGTGCCTTATTTTCAATTAAGCGCCCCGTCATGCTCTCTTCATATGACATGAATGCAGATCCCTTCAACTATTCTACATACTCATACAGGCCCCCGATGTCCGTCAAGTTCTTACTATCACACACAGTGACCATGTCTGGAGGCGCCCATGGCTCCAAAAACATTGCATAGATTGAATGTTGGGTGGCGCGGCGACAAAAACGTGTATTAATTACAAGATCTATGTGATGAACCGAGGCACCGAAGAACATATTTTGCACATTTTCTATCTCCTAATTCGATTTGACGCTCAACACAGTATTACATCTGGATCCTCTGGTTTATGGACGAGTGTTGGCGATCGCGTGTTTGCGTTTAGGTGATTGGGGCAAGGCAGAAGGACATGATCTCTTCGTAGAGCAGATCTTTGAGCTGCTCCTGGCTGATATCGTCCTTGTGTATTGCCGAGTACGATCGATATACATGCGTGCTTGTCAAGCCTAGTACTTACGGTCAAATTTGAAGAACCCCAGGTCGAGCGGTGGTGCAACTGATTCGTCATCGGGATTGTGCTGGATCACATGTAAGCTTGTGCACTCGAGGAGCAGGAAGTACATATACATATGCTTCAAGATATGGGTGAGCTAAAGCCTCTTCGACTGTTATGCGTTTCATTGGGTCAAAAGTCTAGGAGAGGTTGGAGCTACCACTCAAAAAGATGAGAAGATCGTAGCTTACGAGTCTTCGTCAAGAAGTCTACAGCCAAACAGGAATGGGCGATGGCATCTATAGAAGAATTGCTATCGGATGCAGTTGACCACAAGTGGAGCCGTGAGCGTGAACGCATGAATTTGAACTGGCGACAGTTTCAGATCACCTGACTTATCATGTGCCCTGTCACACCGTCCTTTGTGAAAACAGTGAACACTCATGGAACCACATACTGTATTGTTTCACCTGTGGATCAAGCTTCATGGCTTCAAATACCTCTTGACTTCCGAGGATGAACCTGCTGGTGATCACCTTTCCGACGTCATCTCAAAGCCCGACCTCGAGTGTGTAGCTCTTGTTTTCGACCCCAGTCTCACAAACTGTTGCCGTTAAAATGTGCACACTATGTATTGATGTAAGTCACGGTCGCAATTGGTGCTGCACGGATGATAGGTGTGCTTACATCTTGCGTGCCCCATGTCTTGACAGCGACTGGTTAGGAATCAAATTTTGCGTGGTAGCGCGCACCGGCGATAAACCGTCAACTGTTTTGAGCAATTTGCCTGTGTTGGCATCCCAGATTTTTAGGTCGTCCCCGCCAGTGGCAATCATCTTGCCATCGGGTGAGTAGCAACCCGCCCACAAATAGTTCCTGCATTAATCGGTCCAAGGATAGTTTCTCTGCTCTCAACATCTCACACTCTAAATGTTCTATCTTCTGATACGCTCACCACTCGCCCTCCGTCTAAACTCCAGCACACAGAACGGACTACATCTGTGTGAGCGGTCAATGTTTTGGTAACCTTGCCCGTGTCGACACTCCACAATTTCACTGTGCCATCGAAACTCCCGGTTGCTACTGTCTTGCCGCCCGGCGACAATGCTATGGTGCGCACTCCTCTTTCTTTGTCCTCCCATTCCTCCCCAAACTGCGTGCCCCTCTCTGAGTCCCAGACTCGAAATGACCCATTTTCCGATGAAAAGATGAGGATCCACTGTCCACCGGGCAGGTGTAGGATGTGGGTGACGCCATTCTTTCCTTTGATCTTTCGGCAAGGCATTGTCGCTAAATTCTCGTGCTTTGCAGGGGCTGGATGCCCCATGATTTTGGTTTCGAAATTCACTTAATGGGTGGGCGATGATTTCAGCTCTTACCATCAAATACCATATGAATCCATCACTTACTCAGAATCCAGATGTACTTGACTTGTACACAGAAAGACGAATGCGGAACGAAAGCCGCAATAGAGTGAGAGTTTCGTTCAATGGAGATTCAAATCAGGAAGGAGGTCATCATTAAAGTCTTCTGCAGGTGCGTTTTCCTCGCTTCATCCTCGTGTTTGCCTCACGATTTCAGCACATGGCTGTGCAGTATAGGCGCCCAATTATGACAATATGCGCATTGACCTCTCAGCATCAGAGTCGCACTATCCCACAAACCTGTATCTCTGTGTTTCTCCACACACCCAATGTGATTTTGCGATTGTCGTATCTATCTTTCCCTCCACATTTTGGCCGCCGTCTTCGTTGAGAGTCTAACTGGGCTCATCCTGCTCTTTTGTCTGACCTTGGTTCTCAACGTCCTACGTGAGCTTTTCTTCTTCGTCTCCCCACTAGCTAAATCGTAATCTGGCTATAATGATTCCGATTTTCGTGGAAGAGACTATTCATCCTCGTCAGTACGCTGTCTGCGCTCATGTTTTTAATACTTGGAGTAGCATTGTCGGTGCACAAAAACCCTTTGCTTTTCAGCAGAAATCTCGGATCTGGCAGGGCAAAGGCTGTCAACAACACCATCCAGCACGATAACGATAACCCACATCTTTTCACCTGCCTCGCGGACGATCAGCAATTGGGTACAGTTCTCTACAAGCGGATTCGGTGAGATGGGTACGGCTGCCCCGACACTGCAATGCTCCTTGACACCCACAAGGACGGTGAGATCTGCCCGTGTCATACAAGTCACAAATTGGCGAAGGTCAATAGCAGTACGAGCTCGCGAGCATACACATAACGCGGGTTAACGAGGCTTTCATTTATGGCTGGTTTGATGCCAATGCAGACCCAGTTCCGAGCCTTGCTCTGTCATATTTGGGCTGGATGCGCTGCCCACGAACGAGGCTAATGGTTGGCTCATCGTCGAGCAGACATACACGCCAGCAGTGCTACGCAATATCTCCCAGTGACCACACATTGCCTCGCTCTTCGTTTCTTGCGAACGTTTGTCGTATTTTTGCAAGATAAAACCAAATTCATGTACACCGGGCAATCTATGTGATGGACTTTCTAGTTGGTGAGACAGGCTGCAGTCCAGATGTACAGACGTTTGATTACTTCCACCTATCTAAGGCTGCTTAATCCATATTTTCTCGTGTCATTGCTGAACAGTGCACACAATCCGCAGTAACCGAACATCATATCATACCTCAGGTACATTATATCTACCTGAGATTTTTAAACAAGTTGACTGTATTCCATTTGATGCTTCAAAGCAAAGAGCAAACCATCTGGCCATGCTCAAACGCGGTCTGTGCAATTCAGCGACATTAGTGAAGAGAGTTCAGTTTACATTCACTGCACCGGCTGCGACACAGCCGTCAATGCAAGAACTGACTACTAACTATGTACTGGTTTGCGATTAACATACCATGAAGGGTGCCACGTAGTAATGTCCGAGATGCACCTAATGTTGACCGTCTGCGTGTTGAAAAGAGACGCAACCAATCCAGAGTAAGAACCGAGTCCAGTATCCGGCCTGCGTTATGATGATATCAGGATGCGACGATGTGCTAGTCGTTACTGCGGTAGCGACGGCTGTAGGAAGTCCCTTGGGTGCCGTAGCGGTAGCGAGTAGTTGTTGCGATGATGATGCTGTGCCCTGTGATGTTCCAGTGGGCATAACATAAGTATTGGGAGGTCGAGAGGAGCCAGAGGCTTTCTTTCTTGCGTGATAGTTCCTCTGTACAAAAGTCAGTGATAAAGAATAAATGAGAAAGAGAAAAAGGTACAGGCTTGCCCGCTGTGTATGGGACGTTGACTATTGGTGGTTCTCGCAACTGATCTCATCTGCGTAGCATGCCGGACACTAGGTTTCGAGTCCAGATAAGAGGGCGGGATCGAGGTTGGGTGTTGTGCTCAGTTGCTGCACGCGGCTTGGAGCGGCGGCGCAAGAAGGTCGGTACTAAGCGACCAAGGAGGGTGTGTTGACTACATGGTGTAGAGGACTAACAACATATTAGTCAGAACCACTGTTCTATGAAAGACAGATATCGCGTACACTTGCATGAACAGGACGTGGCACATTGTCAAAAAACCCTGGGGGAATTTGGCGACTTGGAGCTTCGGCGATCTGGGGGGCTTCTTGCGGTCGACGCGGTGTAGCATCAGTCTGGATGTAGTTGTTCAAGAGCGATAAATCTGTCAAGAAATGCGTTACATACATCTGAATTGAACACTGGTTTGTTGACAGCACTCTGTGATGAACGAAGATCAGCGCCTGAAGAGACCACCTGGGAAGATGAGCGAGCTCGTTGTCAACGTGATGCCATTGAAGAAAAAATGTATCGAAGCTTACATTGTCTGACAGAAGGCCAGCCTCCTTGACGATAGCGGAAACATTCCATGTGTAAATGTGGTCGTCGGAGCAGCTAGTAACGAGGAACTTTCCATCCGCAGAAAAGGTCGCGGAATTCACGTAGTCTTCATGGTGAAGTGGTGTTCCGATGGGTTGATTGGTTTCGAGGTTCAATAGTTGCGCCGTCGCGCGCCCGTATTTTGCACTTGCGAGGATGCGCTCATCGGGAGATAGTGAAATGGTATCGGCATAGTTTTCGGGCACAAAGTTAAGAACAGTCCACGTGGCTGTGTCAAATATCACGATGCCAGTGGATTCCCCAGCGATCAGCGTTTTTCCATCCAAGGTCCATGCCAGGCACACAATAAAATACTCGAGTGTTTTGAGCAATTCGCCTGTGTTGGCATCCCAGATTTTCAGCACACCCCCCGCCATGGCAATCATCTTGCCATCGGGTGAGTAGCAAACCGCCCACATATATCTCCCTCCGTTGATTGGTCCAAGGATAGTTCCCCCGCTCTCGACATCCCATACTCTGAATGTTTCATCAAGGGATCCGCTCACCACTCGCCCTCCGTCTGAACTCCAGCACACGGACTGCACTTGCTTTGCGTGCCCCGTCCATTTTTTGATGACCTTGCCAGTATCGATGTTCCACAATTTCACTGCGCCATCAAAACTCCCAGTTGCTACTTTCTTGCCGTCCGGCGATAATGCTATGGCAAGCACTGCTCTTTCTTTGTCCTCCCATTCCTCCCCAAATTGCGTGTCCCTCTCCAAGTCCAAGACTCGAAATGACCCATTGCTCAATGAATAGACGAGGATCCGTTGTCCACCGGGCAGGTGTAGGATGTCGCTGGTGTCACGGTTTACTTTGATCTTCCGGTGAGGCATTGCCGCTAAGTTCTCGTGCTTCGCAGGGGCTGGATGACCCATTATTCTGGTTTCGGGATTCACTTTACATGTGTGTCACAATTTCAGCTCTTTTTATCAAACCCCATACGAGTCCATCACTTACTCAGAATCCAGATGCTACTCGACTCGTACTGAAAGACAAATGCGGAACAAAAGCTGAGACGGAGTGGGCGTTTCGTTCAATGGGGGTTCAAAACAGGAGGGGGGTCGTCATCAGAGTCTTCTGCACGTGCGTTTTCCTCGTTTCATCCTCGTGTTCCTTTCACAGCTTCAGCACTGCATGTGCAGTTAAGCGCCCAGTCATGATAATATGCGCATGGACACATCGGCATCGCGGTCCTAGTACTATCTTGCAATCCTAAATCCCTGTGTTCGTCTACTCGCCAATGTGATACTGCAATTGTCGCATCTATCTTTGCTTTCCATATTTCCGTCGAGTCCAAATCGATCGTGGTTCTCAAATTTATGGTTGGGTTGATGCAGTGCAGACCCAGTTCCGAGCCCTGGTTTGTCATATTTGGGCTGGATGTGCTGCCCACGACCGAGACTGATGATTGGCTCATTGTCGAGCACACATATGCACGCCGGCAGTGCTACGCAATGTCTCCCACTGACAACACATTGCCCCGCCCTTCGTTTCTTGCGAATGTTTGTCGAATTTTTGCAAGATCAAACCAAATTCGTGCACACGTCGCACGAGGAAAACCATGTGATGGACTTTCTGGTCGGACTAGCTGCAGTCCGGGTGTTTTGATTACTTATACCCATCTAAGGCTGCTTAATCCAAACTTTCTCGTGTCATTGCTGAGCGCTGAACAGTAACCGAACATCATTATCATATCTCAGGAACGCTGATATCTACCTGGGATTTTTAAACAAGTTGACTGTATTCCATTTGATACTCCAAAGCAAAGAACGGACCGTCTGGTTATGCTCTGGATGCCCAGTGTCCTTCCCAAACAAACGCGGTCTGTGCAATTTAGCGACATATCAGTGAAGAAGGCTTAGTTCACATTCACTACACTGGTTGCAGCACACAGCCGTCGACACAAGAACTGACTATACGGGGATGTCCAAGATGTACCTAACGTTGACCATATGCTGTGTGTTGAAAAGAGACACAACAAATCCAGAGTAAGAACCGAGTCCACCATCCGGCATGAGTTATGATGATATCAGGATGTGACGACGCGCCAGTCGCCACCGCGGTAGCGGCAGCTGTAGGAAGTGCCTTGGGTGTCGTAGCAGTGGCGAGTGGTTGCTGCGATGATGATGCTGTGCCTTGTAATGTTCCAGTGGGGATAACATAAGTATTGGGAGGGCGATTGGAGCCGGGAGTTTTCCCTCTTGCATGATAGTTCCTCTGTACAAAAGTCAGTGATAAAGAATAAATGAGAATGGAAAAAAGATACAGGCTTGATACGACATGCGTCGGCATCTAATACCGCCTGCATATCATACCACATACTATATTTTGAGTCCAAATGAGAGGGCGGGATCGTGCACAAGACCACCTGGGAGGATGAGCAAGCTCGTGGTTAATGCGATGCCATTGAAAAAGATATGTATCTAAGCTTACATTATCTGACGGAAGGCCAGCTTCTTTGAGGATAGCTAAAACGTCCCATATGTATATATGATCGTAGTCGCAGCGAGTGACGAGGAACTTTCCATCTGCAGAAAAGGTCGCAGACTTTAATTTCACCCTGGGTTCATGGTGAAGTGGTGTTCCGATGGGTTGATCGGTTTCGAAGTTCCATAGTTGCACAGCTGTCTCGTCGAAGAATGATGTTCTTGCGAGGATGCGCTGATTGGGAGATATTGAAATGGTTTTGAAAAATATTTCACGCATGTCGATAACAGCTGTCCACGTAACTGTGTCGAATTTCTTGATCAAGTCGGATCCCGCGGCGAAAAGTGCTCTTCCATCCGAGGTCCATTCCAGGCACCAATATTCACCCTCGAGAGCTTTCCCACCGGTGCCCGTGGCAATCATCTTGCCATCGGGTGAGTAGCAAACCGCGAACATCCATCCCCCTCCCTTGATTGGTCCAACGATAGTTTCTCCACCCTCGACATCCCATACTCTGAATTCTCCATCAAAGGATCCGCTCACTACTCGCCCTCCATCTGAACTCCAGCAGAGAGAGCCCACTTTCTTTGTCTGCCCCGTCAATGTTTTGACGACTTTGCCCGTGTCGATGCTCCACAATTTCACGGCGCCATCAGGACTCCCGGTTGCTACTTTCTTGCCGTCCGGCGATAATGCTATGATCTCCACTAGTTCTATTTCTTTGTCTTCCCATTCCTCCCCAAACTGCGTGTCCCTCTCCATGTCCCAGACTTGAAATGATCCATTATTCGATGAATAGGTGAGGATCCGCTGTCCACCAGGCAGGTGTAGGATGTGGCTGGTGCCATAGTTTACTCTGATCTTTCGGCAAGGTCTTGTCGCTAAGTTCTCGTGCTTCGCAGGGGTTGGATGCTCCATGACTTTGGTTTCGGGATTCACTTGATGGGTGCGTCATACTTTCAGCTCTTGCCATCAACCGCTGTACAAATCTATCACTTACTCAGAATCCAGATGCTACTCGATTCGTACTGGAGGTGGAATGCAGAATGAAAGCTAAAACAGAGTGGGTGTTTCATTCAATGGAGATTCAATCAGGAGGGAGGTCGTTGTTAAAGTCTTCCGCAAGTGCGTTTTCCTCACTTCATCCTCGGTTCGCTCCACAGTTTCTTGCTGTGCAGTTAAGCGCCCAGTCATGACTCGGCTTAATATGCGCACCGACGCCTCGGCATCACGGTCCTACTATCCCACAATCCCGCATCCTTGTATTTGTCTACTCGCCCAATGCGATTCTGCAATTGTCGAATCTATCTTTGCTCTCCATGCTTATTTCCATTGAGAGTACAACTGGACACGTCGACTGTGGCTCTCAACGTCCTACGTGAGCTTTCCTTCTTCCTACTAGCAAATCGCATTCTGGTTATTCTGGTTACATTTTTCTAGTCTTCGTCTAATCAGTCATTTCCCATCGCTTCCAGATCCACGTCTCTATACTTGGAGCAACGTGTCGAGCAAACAAATCGAATAGGCTCTATCGCCCTTCGTCTACTGAATACAAATAATCACATATTTGTTCAATGCATGTATCAGCAAGTCGTTCCCGGCCATTGGTCAGTACTCAGTATTGATAAGTATTCTACCCTCAAGCAGGAACGCGCTGCTCGGATCCTCAAGTATCTCTTCATCTCGCGAATCAGACATGTATGCACCATGAATTCAGGGCTTGTATCACCATAGCTCAGTGAGGAGAGTTTCAATTCTCAATTACGCACCAGACTTGAGATGTGAAACACTAATCATATTCGAAGGACCTACATGGCGCTCAAGAAGATCCCCCTTTCTCCACTGTCTGGCTTCTTCACACGGAATCTTTCTTTTCTCGATGCAGAGTTGAATCGGCAAGGAAGGCGCTGTTTAGCAGAGGACCGGAAGTCTAGCGCGGGAGGTAGAACCCAAGACCAAATAATTGCATTGGCCCAGTGAAGGGTGTGGACTTACTTGACAGCAAGAGATGCCACATTGATGCTGGGATGCCAAAAGAGATGAAAAAGCTTTGCATGTCGTCAGAAGATCGATCTCCACAGCATACCATTACATTGTGTAACGCTGTGAAGCGAGCACAAAGATGCTATCATCATATGTCCATAGTAGGTATATAAACAGCGGCCTCCCTCTCTGTATCGAGCACAGCGTTCACTCGACAGAAACTTTTAGTTCGCATACCAGGAAGCACCTGTAAGTAAGGGGAAAGCAGGTACTAAATTTGTCCCCACGCCTCCGATCTGTACAGCCTGCACAAGCTGTGATCAAGTAAAATCTGTGCAGAAGTTACATATCAGTACTCAGTGACCAGTGACCTCCCTCCTGATTCGACTCTTTCAGAAAAACGTCCAGACTCTACTCCTTTGCAACTTTGATTCTCTGTATAAGTCAAGTACCTGTAAGCGATGCCTACAATAATTGATTGCTGTTCGGCTAAGCCTGTGTGTTGTTGGTTTCCCTCGAGATTCTTTTCACTCTCTCATTCTTTACGCAGAGAAACTATCACGCAAGAGGAAAAACACGTGTATCCTCTCAACCTGCATGACTCAGACCCCAAAGCAAAGTAGCAAAACAACCAAGAGCACGTCGTCATCATCACAATTATCAGCTGTCCCTGCCACAGGTTCTCAATCTTCAACACTTGCTGATCCTGCGATCGTTCCAAATCGAATTCTCCTCTTTCTGTTCAAAAAGGATAGTGATGTTGTGGAGGCGTGACAATAATTCATCAGTAAATCTTTTTTTCTCTTTCGTACAAGTGAAAGCTGATTATTTACGCCAAAGAATTGACTTCGAGTATCGGAGGTGACTTGGGTAGACAGTGTTTGAAGTATGAATGCGAGATCAATTATTATCTCCCATGAAGACCGTGTGAACTTTAGGCCTTCCTGAGGCCAGCCATGATGTGAAGCCGTCAATGGTTACATTGATTCACGATGCAGGTAGATGCAATAACGTTGAGGTCGAACCACCTTGCAGCTCTTGCTTCTCAATCTGTCTCGAAATTAAATCGATGTGAAGTGCCGTCTGGCTGGAGTGAAGTTTCACTGATCTATGATGGTTCCAGAGTGCGTGCACCCTCGTTCGAAGTGCTTTCTGAGGCGAAGGTGCTCTGGCAGATTTTTAAGCACCAAGTGTGACATCGTTTAAAAATAAGAGGAAAAATCTCATGCTAAAGATGCCACCGTCAGCGAACTAAAGTTGCGACTATTTAGAGGATAATCACGATATTCTGCGACTGCTTGTGAGGTTGCGCGTTACAGGTTCGCCGGAGGGAGCGGTATCTGTATATGCTTGTCGGAATTGTGCATCGTTGAAGAGTGACTAGTGATTAGCGGCTGCTGGAGTACAAAACTTGAACTAGACTCGAGTTGCTCGACACGAGCATAAGGGTTTGCCGCACGAACACTAGCTCCGAGTTCCTAGTGCAGGAAGTACTGTAGCACAATGAAGGCAGTGTACGGCCCGTACCCCATACTCAGCCTGGGGGCTTCAGCACTAGGAACAGTAGGTCGTTTGGGATCAGGCTCAGTCCGTACTCTCGCGAACGAGAAACCAGAAAAACCCCGGAAGACTCGCACCAGACGCTCTGCAGTGGTACTGAAAGCCAGATTCTTGACGAATAAAGTCGTCCCAGCAGACAAAGAAAGCTCGTCCGCATCAGCACCGCTGCCAGCTTCCTGCTTGGCGATAGTGATCGACTTGAATGCAGTTATCAGCGTACGGTCAGAGTTCCCTGCTGCATCCGCAGTCTCCTGGAACATGCCCATCGGACCCTTCTCCAAGTAGACGACACTACTTCCGAGACGTCGGTAAGCTACAGCTCGAAAAGCCTTGGCGGCTTCATCTGCCTGTTCGAATTCCACCACCATCATGGTACCTGCCGGTGGTACGATGACACGGCTGAGTTCCCCGTGTAACTCGAACATCTCACGTATCTGTTCCGCAGTGGTGCCATAGGGGATGACTAGTATTGTAGTATCAGACCGCGCTTGGGAAGAAAATGTCGACAAGATGACCTCCTGGGACTCAAGGTATGACTTCGTCTCTTGGATAACGCCTGTGTCTGCAAGCGCAAGCTTGACTGCCGCATTGTCTGACTCAGGATTCAGAATATCTGCCTTGGCAATTCCCATTCAATCAGTGATAGACGATGCCACTACAATATCGCTCTGCACATGCATTGCATGAGATCTCAATATATAGCGCGTAACACGACAAAGGCTTGACGAACATTCGGGTACAACATACTCCAATTGAACTCCTGCCCAGCTGTGGCTTTACGTCGAGAACTCTTCTCATCTTTTAACATTCGCTTTCCCCCTTGCCCTCTACTACTTCAAACTTGCCTTTACGGTCAACAGCAGGAATGATGTGACAGGACATCTTGCATCTTGTCCAGTGTCTCATACGCCGAGAGGGCAGATGTCGGCTGCTTAGACAAGTGGTCAATGGATATATGGCCCTGTCAGGATAGGGATGAGTCAGCGAGGTGATCAGCGACACAAATTATAAAATGGGAATAAAAATCAGATAAATTTTCTACTATTGGTTCCCGGGGATCAGCAAATCCTTGGAGGATCAGATGTCCCTAAATGTTTATCATCAAGAAAAAGCAAAAGAAATGGAGAATACACGACAAGGCTGCGGGATACTCACCTGTGCAATTTCCCCGAGCGGCTGAAATAGCTCCATGACCTCGGCTTCCGTACATGAGAAGGCAAGGTTTCGAAGAAATAATCGAGACGTGTGCATAATCGTCTTTGTTGTCGAGTCCTGGTGTTCCTCAGGAATGGCGCCAACCTGGTGCTCGTCATCTGATTGCTCAAAGACTTTATCGGGTAATGAATCTGACACCAGGTTCATACGTTGTCGCATCCATTCGAAGTCCATGACAGCCTCATTACTATCTGGTCCATCGGATGTGGTCATTGTCTCCGGAGGGCCGGTCGGTAGTACTAAATGTGATTCCTTAGCTTCATTTGCCCACGATGGACCCTTTGTCGTGCAGGTTTGCATAGCATCCATGAACTGATCTAGCGGAGAGGCTGATGCCGAAGAGGCTGGAGCGCTTGTCTTACCATTCTTGTCCGCCTTGTGAACATGTGGTCGCGATGACGGTCCTGGGTCTGCAGCAATGTCTTCCAGGCGTCTTCTCTTATTTGGTCGAGGAGCTAGAGCATCCTTCACGCCTTGCAGATATATTTGTAAAACGAAACACCGACACTTGGGAAGCAAGAAACTTACTGCGACAACCATGACATTAATTCGCATCGAGTCGATGAACGTGCAGTCAAACGACGAAACCGAATCGACGCGATGTGCCGTCCTGCTTGAGTGAAAAATTCAGATCTGTGATGGTTGCAGAGGGAGCACCTTGTTGTTCGAAGTGCTTTATGAGGCGATCTGGCGTGAGGTACGCGGGTAGATTTTTCACAATCAAATGTGAGGACAAGAGCAACACCAATTCAAACTCCGACTGGACGTACCCGTCTTTGTCATTGCACAAACTGGAAGCGGGGTTCGAGCTTGCACTCTACTGGTAAGTACTCTTGCCCTCAACGAAAGAAAAGGTATTTGTTGGATGTGGTGAGATGCATCGATGTGTATGACAAAATGACGTACGCGGAAAGAGTGAATTACCCTATTTGTACTGTGTTGGAGCCTTTTTTGAAATTCCATCGGGGCAACTTTCCGACATCATCTCAAAGTCAAACCTCGAGTGTTTCTCTCTGACGCGTTCACCTTTCGAACGTCATCTCAAAATCCGACCTCGAGTACTTCGAATTCTCTAGTACTTCTCGCCTTTGTTATATGTGTCCGTTACCACCTGCCATAACACCCTCGATAATTCTACCCCCATGCCAATCACGTACATATAGCATCGTTCAGCTTTTCTATGCAGTGCACTATGCAATACATTGGATCCCACATTTTGCCTTAGTCTTGTGCTGCTAGAATGAGTACCACGTTTCGAACAACCTATGATGAGAGTAACATGTTCGATCTGCATCACGGTACACTTTGAGAGTCACAACACGTCCCCCAACTCACATTAGCCTGTCGCTTTCACTGTTGGCTGACCTTGACATTGCTCTCCCGCTAATCCTAGTTTAGCCGCCTCAGCGCTTACTGCAACCACACAAGCGCCCTAGACTACCCTCAACAACATGGAAATACACGTGTAACATTACCTCAACCCTCCACCCCTTCCTCTCCCTCTCACCCAAACTTCATCCACAGTTCCCAAATCCCCATTCCCGTCTTCTTCTACTACCCTTTCTGTCTACCATCCAGCCCATCCTCAATCCTGGTCGTTTTGCTTCATCGCACTATCATGCCCGGTAGCTTAGAAGGCCGATATATCAGACTTGAGAGTGAGTTGCTTCATACCACATTCGTATCTGTTATCCTCACATTCTATCTACAGTTATCAGTGGAAAAAATATCAAAGTTCCCTCCTTGCGCATCCCCGCAGGCATCCATGTGTCCGTCAATCTCGACTCGAGCAGACGCTGGAAATCAACAATCGGTGTCCTATCATCCGACGAATCTATAACGTGGCGCGATAGTGTGACCTTGTACATGTTCATCCAGACTTTCCGACGCAACTCGAGGACTGATCTTGTGTTTGTAGATCATCAGATGCGTCACCTACGTTATCAGTGGAGATCAGGGCTTCCTTCGAGCTCGATTGCATGCTAGGCAATGGAGAAGTTGTCGGAAAACTTGACAAATCATGGGATGAGCTGCTAGATCATGGAAATGAGCCTTTCGGTGAGTAACCTCCTTCCCACTCATGCGCGTACACTCACATCTTGTAGACATCTCCTTTCCGTCTGTTCACTCTTCCCTCACACTAAAGGCCACGGTTCTACATGACTGTGACTATCAGGACAGCGCACTGCCTGACGTGAGTAACATCAGCCTCTGTGTTGTTCGCTTTTGTAGACGGAACACCTGCTGTAGTCCATCGTTGAATGTGAGATTGCTCAAGACACGGATGCGGGCCATGAACGATTTGCCACATACGTGACAAGCAAGACGGTCTCTCACCTGAATGATGCTGTAAAGCATTTTCAGTTGGTCCTGGACCAATGTCCAGTCGGCCATCTTCATCGGGCAGCGGCTCTCACCAACCTCGCGTGGGCCTGCCTTCAAGGCTACATTCGAAAGGATTTTCAAGACATCGACTCTATCACTTCTCTCTTCCGCGAAGCCCTTGCATTGCGTCCGCAAGGCCACCCCGATCATCCCTTATCCATCTATAACCTCACTGAAGCGCTGACCTGGCGCTACAGCAAAGAGAACTTCGCCGTCGTCTATATCCAGGAATGCGCGCAACTGTCCTGCAAGCTATTGCCCCTCTGTCCAGAGGGCACCTACCTTCATAGCATCGCGGCAGGGGCAAATGGCGTCGATTATGTGATCCGCTCATGCAACAATCTTCCAAAAGACGCATCCGATGAAGGCATCCACCTTCGACGAGTCATACTCGAGCTTTGTCCTCTGGGCAGCGCACACCGTCCGAAAGCACTCGACAACCTTGCGCAGGCAGTTGAAGCACGCTTTGACCAGCGCGGCACCATTGATGATCTAGCAGAGAGCATACAACATGAGCGTGAAGCCGTTTCTCTGTGCCCCGAGGGACATTCTGAACGCGACACCTACCTGAATAACTTGGCCTACTCACTCAAATCTCGCTTTGATCACCAAGGCAACTCAGATGACCTCAATGAGGCCATCTCTTTGTATGAAGAAGCGCTGCGCCTGCGCCCTGTTGGGCACAAATCTCGTGATTTCTCATTGAACAACCTAGGACTCGCCCTCTGGACCCGTTTCAAGCAACGTGGTGATGTTAACGACATCATCAGATCCATCAGCCTCCAGCGCGAGGCACTGACGTTGCGCCCGCCTGGGAATCCATATCGTGATCAGACACTTAACAACCTTGCGCTCGGGCTCAAAACCAGATATGAGAAATTAGATGCCAGCGAGGATCTCGACGAGGCCATCAACCTCTACCGGGATTCACTTCAGTTAAGGCCGCATGGCCATCCTCGTCGCCATACAGCTCTTTTTAATTTGAGCTCGGCGCTCCGTTCTCGTTTCACGCAAACTCGGAAGAATGAAGATATCGAGGAGGCCATTCGACTCTGCCAAGAGTCGTTGGAGTCTTTGCCTTCACTGCACCCAAGTAGATATTTCAGCTACATGTGGCTGAAGAATGCCTACGTGTCTCGTTACCAAGTGCAACGCAACCTCGCCTATTTATCGCTCGCTGTGGAGAACTTCAGACTAGCGTCGAGGCATCCTACTCAAGGCTTTCCGCGTCGAATTGAAACAGCTCTGCGCTGGGTTGACACGGCCGAAAATTATCAACACGACTCTTCTCTCGAAGCATACCAAACGTGTTTGGAGCTTTTCGATAACCATGTGATGACGCGGTCGTCAATTATCTCACGGCGCGAGGCTGCAACCGCTTTTCGCAGCTGCCAATCATTGCCAGTAGATGCAGCCTCCTGTACCATACGTCGTGATGATCTGCGACGAGCAGTTGAACTTGCGGAGCAGGGTCGTGGTCAGCAGTGGTCGCTGGCTTCTCGACTCAGAACTCCGCTGGAAGACCTGAAGCTTGCAAGTCCGGAACTAACTCACAGGTTCTCAGATATCAACGAGCGCTTATCTGGTACTCAGGGTTCCGCCGGCAGCGCTGATCGAGCTGCTGCTGATCGAGCAGCAGTACAGTACAGAAGACTTCAGCAGCAGTGGGAAGCAGTGGTAGCTGAGATCCGTCATCTTAAAGGTTTCTCGCGGTTCCTGCTCCCGCCGTCGTATGAAGACTTGCAACTGGCGGCGCGTCATGGTCCAGTCATCATCCTCGTTGCGAGTCAATACTCGTGCAGTGCCATCGTTGTCCCGACGTCAGGAGAGCCCCACCACGTTCAATTCCCGCGCGTCAATCTCACACATCTGGAGAAGCTCAAGAGTGACTTTGCGAGGGAGATACGACTTTGCATCTTTTATGCGACCCAGAGGAGACGAGGAAGGAATTGCAAGTTCTCTGCGGACAATATGGGACGAGATCATGCTCCCCATCGTCATCGTCCTCCAGCGTGATCTCAGAGTAACGAGCGGCTCTCGAATCTGGCTGTGTCCAACTGCAACCTTCACTTCCATTCCTCTTCACGCAGCTCACCCCTTTCGAACGAAGACAGACGGACGACGTGAACTATGCCTGGAGGACGTCTACATCTGTTCTTACACGCCGACACTTTCAGCTCTGATCAGATCTAGACAAGACGATGAAGAAACGCGTTACTTCCGTCATTCGTCGCAATCGGACAAAGTTCACCGGGTGCGGGGCAAGGCGAGGCGCTGTTGACTGTTGACAGTGAGCTTGAGCTCGTCCGCAAACTCGTCCCCGCGACGGCCAACTCCACCACTCTCTCCGGCGACGATGCCACTCGAGCAGGTGCACTAGATGCTTTGCAACACAAACACTTGGGTGCACCTCGCTTGTCATGGGAAGCAGGATCGCGAGCAGCCTTACTATTCATGTTTCGCCATGAAAGACAAACCTCTCACGTTGCTCGATATCATGGAGAAAGACATTCCTCACGCTGAGTTCGCATTCTTGTCGGCGTGTCATACCGCTGTTGGTGATGAGAAGACACCGGACGAAGTCATCCACCTCGCAGCTGGACTCCAATTTTCAGGGTTCAAGAGCGTCATTGGCACGCTGTGGGTGGTTGACGACGCTGTCGCGAAACACGTTGTCGAAGCTTTCTACAAGAAGATGGTCAAGGGTTTGGAGGATGGTGTATGATGGACTGTACGAAGGCGGCCTGGGCACTCAAACCGTGCTACAAACGCCGTAAAGACGAAAGTTCCGCTTGAGCAGAGGATGGTTTTTCATACATATTGGTGTGTAGTTCTATGTCTCATTGTTTCGATATCGTACAGTTCTTCAGGTTATTCTCTTCGGTCTATGCTGTACTTAAAGTTGTAGGAATTACTTGTACTAGCCTAAACAATGTGGGTTACCGTGGAAGATGGAGCACAGAAGCAACTGGCCGCCGTCATTTAAGCCCGGACGCATCTGCATGTTATTGTTTGCGTATTCTGAGATGGATCCTTGGCGCTGAAACGATGCAACAAAGACCAAGGCAGTAGCTTGTATGATTTGTTAACCTGCAGACATCCCATGTACGAAGATGTGAGCATCATCTTAAGGTCGTCATAGGGTGGGGCGAGAAGTATAATCCTCCTGCACTACCCCAACCGCAGTAAGAGCACAACTAAAGGCGGCACTCATTCACAGGGATCGACACAAGACCCGAGTCCTAGCTTCCTACATAGCGCATAGTACACACAATGTAATACAATGAAAGTAGCGTAATCATGTCCCATGAAGAGTGTTGCAGTGCCTATAGAGGGCAATAAACAAGACTTTATCAAAGGAAATGGTACCGAAAGAAGTAGGAAATAAGGTACGACAGACGCAGGAGGGTCGTCGAGAACTAGATGGTAGTGCAGGAGGATTATACTTCTCGCCCCACCCTACGACGACCCTTAAGATGATGCTCACATCTTCGTACGTGGGATGTCTGGACTCTGCAAGGTTAACAAATCATACAAGCTACTGCCTTGGTCCTTGTTGCGTCGTTTCAGCGCCAAGGATCCCATCTCAGAATATGCAAGCATAAACTTGCAGATGCGTCCGGGCTTAATTGACGGCGGTCAGTTGCTTCTGTTCTCCATCTTCCATACCTCACCCTATCTTCCTCTGCAACGTTCTGTCTATGGCAGGTCAACCAAACTGGCAGATCAGAGCGTGGTTCATTGGACAATACGGGCAAGCTCGCAGTACTTAATTGACTTTGATTAGACATGATGGTGTAGCAAGTAGACATGGACAAACAGGGTCCATAAGGTTAAGCGTTAAAGATCAGCAAAGTCAAGTGCACACTCGGCAGAAAAATCGCATCTGCTATTTCTCAGCGCCGGTAAAAAGGACAAAATCTTTGACACGCATCATGAGCGTGTGGGGTATCTCGCGTTCCTCCTCCTTCTCGGATTCCACGCAGCGGGTGATGTACTTGGACCGCATACCACCCTTCCGTCGGGGACTTGTTCGCGCCTGACCGCGTAGCCCCGCTGAGGGGGCGGCAGATGCGCCGGGTACTGTCCAATCGTATTGAGGAGAGAGAGATGAGAGTCGAAGGACTTACATCATGAAGGGCTCGTCCGTCGTGAATGACTTCTTGCTTGTAAACCTCTGCTTCTTCGTATGGCTTCTGCAGGGGCCGTACAAATCAGCACGATATCGACAGAGAAAAGGTGATGTATCAACCTTCACAGACACTAATTTTCCAGTGCTGGTCGGGAGGGATTTCTGCAGATGAAGGCCTCAATCAGCATAATATCCAAAGAGCAAAAGAGAAACTACTAACATGCAAGAAACGGTCGCACTTTTCGCAAACGGGCTTGCCGTTGAACATCGCTGCTTCTTGACCCTAAATGCAAAGACATGTGAATTGAGACGACTGTAAACAAGGGGGCATACCTCTTGGATCACGATGACTGCA